CTTAATCCTGGTATTCATCTTATTCTTAAAACATAGTTACCATTTCTTACTAGGGTTTACTGAACCAGTTGAGCGAATATCTTTTTCAAGAAATAAACTGTTAGGACTTTCCTAAATATTTCAAGAAAATAACGACAGGCTCCAATACCCTTTTGTTATAATTCTTTTACTGCACAGTTTTTCGTTATTGTTTAGATAGTAGATTTAAAAAAATTCCAACAACAAAAATTACAAGGTTTATACAAGCATGTGGACGAGAAAGACTATTGCATATTATTATTATTCTATTGTCAAAACACACGCACGCGCATATGATATATATATATATACTTAAACAATATCATTGAAAAGTAAAAGCGAAAATAAAACCTTTTTAAAACAAACACTTTTTGTCAAAGATACCCATATAACCAATGGTATTTGTCATAGTTAATAATTTCCCATCAGGACAGACGATTTTAAATTAACTATCCGTTTGCCGAAGCAGACAGTGAAAAATATAATCATTCAAAATGTCTTTGTCTGTCGTTAAACACGAAGTTACCCAATGGGCTATCTGTGTTGTGCCCACCACGAGTAATGTGCAATGCTTTTTCTCATACTTCACCACAGTAAGCTGATCCGATGTGCCACATCCTAGGCACTGCTTGCATCGTGAATGGTTCCTGATGCAACAGTTTCAATGGTATTCATTACCTCGAGAACAGTTTCATGTTCGTGGATGTCTTACCCTTGGACCGTTGGACTACACTTCCTGTCTCTAGGAGCTTTCTTTCTAAACAGTCTGCTGACAACAACATCTGTGCATATTTTCTGTTGGTCCTGCAGCGGTTTGGCCAGAATACTGCCTCAGTATTTCAGCCATTTTGATGGTAAAACTCCACTGATACGAGATATTGTTCTAAACTTAACATTTTATTGTGCTTTCCACTGCAAGTGACAGAATGATAGTTGTCCCTACCATCCTGTGCTTATACACCAGCCTAGTTTGCATGTAACTATGTTCAGGATCATAGAATGTTTCCAGAAATCAATGAAATATATTTCATGATTCCTTTCGAATTTACGCAAAATGTTTTGCTTATATGTAACATGATTTGCCTCACAAAATGCTCTAAATAGAATATATATCTAAAAATGTAAGCATACAATTAAAGTTTATTTATTTATAAATACGATTTTTATGACCTATTATGTAGATCTTTTAAGCACACACACTACAAAACGTCTGCCATGTTGTTCGTCACAAAAAAAGTTGATTTGTCAGTCAAATCCACGATACGCAATACATATCAATGGACACTCTAATGTATGTTTTTAGTGTGACGTTTCAAAGATCATCATCAAGGTGTGTAATTGAATTAGAGACTAACTATTATATGTATGTGAACATATGTAGTGTTTAACAATGCTCACGTACTTGTTTTCACGGTAACGATTGATTACAATTTTATTTGTCATAAGGCATCAGTGTCAGGCCTATTACATTTTTAGACACTAGATTCTTAATACATTCTTTTGGGAAACTTCAAGAATTAGAAGAGTGAATAATAATAGTATTCCTACCAAACTACATTTCTCAAATCTATTGCCGACGTTGCGCTTTGTTCAGTCCAGAGCTCTTCAGGCCAGATAGGATACAATATACACAGTGCTTCAACATGTAGTAGGTCTAATAATAATATCTTATGACAAATATAATTGTGTTCATTCTTCACCGGATTGTTAGAGACGTACCAGAACAATAGTTATTGTATCAAATGGATTATACAAAAAGTGTTCCGACCACTGCTACGTTTGTTGTATCCCAGGCGGCCTGAAGATCTTTGAATTGAGCGAAGTGCGTCTTCGACAATGGATACGACAAATATATTGTAGTTGAAACAATATTATTATACACTATTCTACTTCTTGAAAATCTCTAATGGACTGGTTAAGAATGTATTGTTTATAAAACGAATAGACCTAATATGTCTGTTGTTGATTGAAGATATGATTTTGTGTATCTAAAAATTACGTCTTAAATTAAACCTACAGTTATGATTTTTTAGTTATATTGTTGTTCTTTTTATCGTTGTTTTAAATGTTTGAATTTAATGTAATACCATCATTAGAACTGTACTATTATATCCGAATTGGAAAATAAGGAATCTCGAGAGACATTATATTACTTTAATAATTCATCATGTAAACAGGGAAATGCCATTATTGGATAAGGTAAGAGTTTTATCTAAATTTTTAAATATCCCTCTAATCAAGTAAAGTAATACCCCTAACTCTGATGAAGAAGTAATAAAATGACAAAATTCATTATTAATATAAGAATAAAATGGAGGAAAGGCTCATAAATTTCTTCTCAAAACTAAAAAAGAAATAACTGATATACAGGCTAATCTCAATACAACTTAAAAACTTAGGAACTATATTTAAGGAATATGATGAGTTGCAACCCAGCTACACAAATCCTATTGAAGAGATCCACGTAGTAGAGAAAGATAATAGAATGTTTAAGAAGTGTGTACGTTCACCTACAAAATTAGATCGATTCTACAACTAAAATAGTTGATGCCCTTGAATAGTATGGCAGGAAGGATTACTCTCCAGTGTTCCTATGATAAAAACTGAAAATATGAATGAGATGGCTATTAAATCTGATGTTACATTACAGTTGGAGGATATCGGTGCTGTGTACAGACTGCCACAACCTAGATCTGGTAAACCGCCTAAAATCGTCATTTAGTTTCTGAAGAGAGATACCAGAGATACTCTTTTTATGTACAGAAAGAAACTAAAATGGATAACAGTGCTCAAAGGATAATAGTGTTTAAATGAATAAACGTTTAATTAAGTCTAAGCGCGTGCTTTTAGGTAAATAGTTTAAGTTTAAAAACAAAATCATCATTGTTATTGTAGAAATGGCATGAATCGTGTGTTTCCATTAATGATTATGTATTAGTTGAAATATTGAGTTAAAATTATTTATCTATTGAAATTAACATATTTTACACAAAATGGAGTTTTAATGTCAAAACAAACAAGAGGATTATAACCCAAGATTACAGTTTTAGGATTTATTCAAATATTATTATACAAATACATCACTTACTAGAATGGTATAAACTAAGGAAGCTCAAAATATTTTAATCATTCATTTTAACATAAGAAGCCTTCACAATTTTTCATAAAGTTTTAGAATTTCTTACAGACATTTTCACACTTTCAATTCCTTTATGAAACTAATGTTAGTCATTGGAAATATTATAAACTCAATAAAATACTTATCAAATTGACCTTATATATATAACAGGTGTGGAATGTACCATAACCGTTGTATAGTGGATTGTACAGTCGTGTTGACAGCTCTATACCTGTTAAGTATAAGGAGAATGTGATAAATATATTGAGAAGTAATGATAGGAATATTCGAAAAATGATAAGGACAATGTTTTGGTTGTAATGGAAACCAGTTATTATAGGTCTGTATGCTTTAGAGGAAAGCCACATCGGGTTATGTGCTGTATCCACCACAGAAAGTTGAACCCCGGATTTTAGAGTTGTATGTCCGTAAGCTTATCACTGTCCCATCGGAGGACAGTTATTATAGAAATAAGGCGTTAGAACAACTTAATAGTGGTAAAAATTGTGAGAACATTTGTAATAAAGATGTGATTATTTACAAAAAAAAACACACAAAAAATAAATTTATTGGTTATGTATCAAATTTTGGAAGTTTGTTTGACGAGGAAGCTACTGGATTTAATTTGTGACAAAATCCATCGAGAAATGTTATGTTACCAAAATTGCATACAAATAAAATACTGAAATAATACTTAGAGAGAAAACAAATCGGAATATCTTAGGTTACCAACCCTTTTAGATGTGTATGTGTTGTAGAAGGCAGAAATGACATTACTAAACCTGTAGTAATTTAATTAATATTGTTTAGGAACCTTTTATTTCGAAAGTGAAAAGTTATATCAAAGGTAGTAAATATTTTGTAAAATAACTTTCTTAAAAAGCTAGAACTAAATTATCTCTTAATGTTATTTGATGCTGTTCACATCATTTTGGAGTGAAAGCGGTTAAGTTTTACTTTGATAATTACAAGGATAGTATTAATGAGAGCTTTTTAACGGGACTAGATTTGGCTTTATTTACTTGTTTTGTTTGTGTGTGAGTTTGAAGAGGAATTTTTCCGCCAAGTCTCAGAAACTGTTATCTATATACTACTAAAACTCTGAGATTGTTTGTTTGTTTGTTTGCTTGTCTGTAATTAAATACAGCAAAAACGGCGCACAATAGCACCATATTGTAATGAAATGAGAATAGAAACTGAATAAAACAAGTTTCGTTAAAATCGGGCCACGGGTTACCGAGTTAGCGCCGTTTTTCGGGTCACTTTTATGAAAATTTCTAGCATGAGTAATTTTACATCACACTACCGTTCGCGCTCTTTACGAAACTTCTTCGTTCAAATCTATTTCCTTGTCAATGTTCCCATCTTCATTAAAAGGCGTAAGATAACAAAAACAAGATCTTGAAGAGTTTCTCAATAACGTGCCTTAGTTATGGTAGGTAATTCGAATGAAAAATAAAGTGTTACTGTTTCTTATTTGTAGAAGGTTTAAGAGGAAAGACTACAACATAATGAATTAATTCATCACAATACCTGAAAACTCTGACTTCACTTTTTCAAAAATCGTAAAATGATTTGGGTTGAGCTGCAACTTCAAAATTTATAAAGACTGTTAACTTTTAAATATTCTAAAGTAAAAAAGAAAAAGATATTGCACACTCTAATGGAAAAAATATTTAATGATATGTACAGATAGGTATCTCCAATTAGGAAATTAAATGTTAAACCAAAAGGAAAGGAATTTTTAAAGGACAAGTGTTATTTTGATTGTAATGCTAAAAATGATATTTATGTTTTAAAATGTTTTACTTGTGGAGTTAAGTGGCATATGTATCATATCAGAAATCTGGAAAATTGTCCCCTCCCATAATTAAACATTTTTATTCCTACAATTAAGTTATTTTGATGGATTGGTGGAAACGTTTTCAATTTTTTCCCCTTTTGAAATTTTAATATAAAGAAAAAGGTTGTTATTTGGTATTAAGCACGAAGCTTCACAAAGAGCTATCTGTGCTCTGCCCACCACAGGTATCGAAACCCGGTTTCTAATGGTATAAGTCCGCAGACATGCCACTGTACCCATGGGAGTAAAATAAAAAGGATAATTCGAAATATTGACATTTTTGACGCTTCGCTAAGTTTTAATTGAAAACCTTTAGGATGGGAAATTTTAATAAATAGAATTGCAGATTTTTGGGCGCGTTATTTAAATGTATTTTGAGTATACTGTTGGTGATTCTGAATGACACTCCCAGGTCGCGCACAACGACCGAATACCAATCCAGAATAGAGGTGATTCTGAAAGAAAGCGATTGAAATTTTCTAATACATATCTGTCTGGATGTGAAACATATGTTAATTCACGTTGTGTATTCGTGAATTTATTTGTTTGTTCAGAGATTTCGTTATCTATAAGACATAAACATTCCACTAAGAGGGAACTAAAAAGCTCCTGAAAGATTCATTGGGATCCCAGGACTTGATGTCTGAAACTGTGTTTAAATTCCCACTCATAAGCTAACGGCATCTAACTTGGCACATGTGCTCAGGTGCCATAAGTGGGTGTCTTAATAATGTTTTATTTTGTGTAAGGACCCTCTTTGGTATCTATAATTCCTTCCTACTAAAGGCCTAAAGTGGCTTAAACTTGCAATGAAGGTCACCCAAGTATGATGGGATATATAGTAGGTTTTCATGGACGATGAACCCAAATCTGGCATCATAGTTTATGTGTAAGTCCTCCCTAATGATCTCATTGGCGCCATGTTTGAAATTGTGTTCACAGCGCCTTTGAAAGAAAGAAGGGCCTAATTT